CTCAATCCTATAAAAGCAAAAGGGATCTCTGGGAGCGAACCGACCCAGCAGGAACCGATTGTGCGACAAATAGGCAGGAAGAAATGGAGATGGATTGGCCATACTCTGAGGAAACCATAAAGTGACATCACTAGACAAGCTATCACTCGAGTGGAACCCGAAAGGAAAGCGGCGAGTTGGTCGTCAGTGCGAAGGTGACTTGGAGGAGGTCATGTGTGGAGGAGATGAAAGCACGTGGGCAGACTTGGAGCGGGATGAAAAAGTTGGCGGAAAACAGAAGGCAATGGAGGTGCGCAGCTGAAGCCCTATGTTCCTCTAGGAACTAAAGGATAAAATAATAATAATATAATAAAAGGCATCTTGTAAAACACTTGATTCCAGAAATATTACTACATAACTAACTAGCGAACTAACCATAGTTGAAAGATTTTAAATAATCAAAAAGCTCAGTCGAGATTTCATTCTAACTTGACAGGTGTGGCTCACCCTTGTTCCATTTCTTTGACACAATAATTATGCATGCCATAAGTCCCTTCAATTTGCATTTTAATACTTGGCCTTTGTATTATTTTTTTGAATTTATATAAACTGACTTTCTTTCACACAACTGCTGTAAATTGTATTAACTTGGAATACTACATCAATATGTTGAACTTTAGATATAAGACATTTTCATTATATCGGACCTATTTGACTGATGCAAAAAATTATCTTGAAGTCAACATCCTAAATTTTGATATTCATCTTGTAACCAGTTGTTTATGTTGAAGTTATTCTCACGATCAAACTACCGAACAAATGCTACCTTGATATGATGTTCGGACTTGACTATCCTAGCCACAATGGTTACGACGATTTTTTCTAAAGTTTTTACTACAATAGAAAGTTTAACTGGACGAAAGCATGACAACCAGCAGTTGTTGTCACAGGGTAGGCTGCTTCCACTATTGCCACAGTCCGGAGACACAGTAGAACGGATGGTTTAAGGGGATGCAACACGAAATAAATATTTCGCTGTCAGGTTTATACAGGAGCTTCCAATTTCCACACTTGATTTCAAACCGTTGAATACGCCTCACTAGGTTAAACTGTTGCATTTCAAAATATAGATGCACTATATTTTTGTGGGACACACAGAGGAGACCCCAGTGTAACCGTCCATCAGGTGTTGAGTGATTACATTAGTGAGACATAACAATTCACGCTTCAAACAATCGGGGTATAAATAGCAATTTATCACGGTTTAATAAGTGTAGGATGACATTAAGTCCTTGGACAAGAAAACGAATAGCAAAAATGGAATACAGCTGTTTGATTAAGTGATATCTGTCTGTCTGTTTTCGACATAGAACTTTGCACAAATGTGCGGAAGTTCAAGTCGCCACATTCCGTGTAGCACGCGAAGCAAGAGAAGAAAGTACAAGAAAAGCATAATAGAGACAGTGAGCAGAGGTGTGAGACAAAGGAGAGATAAAGAAATACAAAAACAGTTTCACTGAAGATCATAAGTCACAGGGAGTGGATGCATCTGCGCCACTGAGAACGATTTTGAGCCATGTCACCAATTGTTTCCAACCATAGATTTTTACCGTCCCGAGGACCCCAGCCTGGAAGTCTACACCTTTCTACGTGGCTTAGACCAACTGTTGTGGATTTCATTGACTGATGCCAAGTTTTTGTTTGACCGCCGCTAGCTTTTTTCCAGTCTGACCCTATATCCGCTAACATTGCTCGTCGAGGGAGGCGATGGCTTGGCATACGTAACACATGTCCAGATTAAGTGATATAGTTATTGTAACAGACAAAATCCAAGTATTTTGGTCTGGACGAAGGAGACAAGTAAACGAAACGAAATCGATACTACCTACACAGGTTGCTGCTTTCTTCTGTATAGTTTACCAAACTTCCATGTGCCAAAAAATTACATTCCAAAAAGTCACAACACGATTTCCTGTGACGCAATGTATGGTACTCAACGGTGCTCTCAGGCCACGGCATTTTTTGTACAAATACATTATGAGAATGAACAAGAATATTTCCAACGAAATGGGATCGAGATTCTATTCACAGGAATCAAGAACAAAACACATATTTCCTACAGACAGTTCAAGAGCAAGCGTTCACTCCATGGTGCCACCTTATGTTTACTCAAATACAATATCGGCAATAGAAAGAAACAACACTTTCTTGTCATCACCCAGAAGCACACAGTAGTAAAGTGAAGCGATAGGAATAAGAATCGACGAAAAAAAGACAAACATTGACGAATAAATCCAAATAAGGCAAGCAAATGTTAGAATGATGCTGATCAAATCAGGGATAGAGGGTAATAATTATAAAACTAGTTGGAATACACAAGTAATTATCGATACTGTGAATAAACTGTTCAGGAGGGCTTTTCAGATCAGTCATTCCGCTAACTTTAACTTGGGAAAGAATCAGTTGACAAACATAAAAATCACTTCATTCTGTTTGAATGCATAACTCAGTCAGAACCATTTTTTCGAAAATTATTTTATCCACATTATTATTATTTATCATTATTATATCCTTTAATTCCTAAAGGAACATAGGGCTTCAGCTGCACACCTCCATTGCCTTCTGTTCTCCGCCAACCTTTTCACCCCGCTCCAAGTCTGCCCACGTGCTTTCATCTCCTCCACACATGACCTCCTCCAAGTCACCTTCGCACTGACGACCAACTCGCCGCTTTCCTTTCGGGTTCCACTCGAGTGATAGCTTGTCTAGTGATGTCACTTTATGGTTTCCTCAGAGTATGGCCAATCCATCTCCATTTCTTCCTGCCTATTTGTTGCACAATCGGTTCCTGCTGGGTCGGTTTGCTCCCAGAGATTCAACCCTGTTGCTGATCTTTTCCTGCCATCTGATCTTGAGTATTGAGCGAAGACAACTGTTAATGAAGGTCTGAAGTTTGTTTGCGATGCTCTTTATGACTCGCCAAATCTCTGATCCGTATCCACAAAACAACCGTATTTGCAAGCCTGCTTAATTTTGATTTCTCTGAATTTTTGTGATTCATTTTCACCAGCTATTATACTTTAAAAATGGTCATTTCATGGTTTTTTTAAAGTCAGATTGTAATAGTCGATTAGGAATGCTAAATCAGATTAAAAGACTCTTAGATAAGGTATTACTTGATACAGAGACTTTAAAACTCAACTAAATACCAGACCTAAATAAAATGTATTATTGTCAGTCTGCGTTTAAGGGATTTTTTAAATGATTGACGCCTCCTCTGCAGAACGCTGTTTAATAGCGATCATGTACTGGTATGCACACGTGTTCAACTGCACTTTATTAAACGTTAGGGGACTACAAAGGAAAAAAGTTCCACAATGTTAGAGATTGCATTTAAAAAAGGTAGTGATAAAATAGGGGGGGTGTAACACTACAACTTTACTAGTTCTATGAAAGCTTTGTGCTCTCTTCAATCTACTGTGAACACCATATTAGATAATGTTTTTGATCCTCTAAAAATAATTTAAATAGGCTATTCCATCTCAAGCGGTGTTTTTAGAATTAATGGACGCAAAAGAATGCATTCCAGTAAGTTCTGAATACGATGAAGTCCACAGGGAGTGGACATGCAGACTAATATACAGTTCAAGTTAAAGAGACAGAACGACTAGTGGTGACAGTAAACGACAAGGAACAATTTAGGATGATCAAAAACACTAGTTTTAAAAAAATAGGGGTTAAGAAAACTATGCTACTGGAGGACAGTTCAGTAGTTCACTCACAAATAAGCTGATTGAAACATGGGCAGAGCATTAGCTTCAAGCCACACTTCAGAAGTTAGTTTAGCTGTAAGCAGTCTAAAAAAGGAAGAAATATCTCCAGAATTATTTAAGGAGAGTGAGTGGGATTATCACCTGAAATGTGGTAGTCAGACATGATACGCTATGACCGTTCTCAGTCACTGATCATCCTCGTCCTTGAAAGAAGCACTTGTGATAACTACATAGTATTAAGCTTAGCTGATGTTGTAGGTAATTATTCAACGAAGAAGTGTAGCTATCTGACATAGTCATGGACGTAATCCCAGGATATCCGTTCAGTCGGATTCAGATACAAAAACATAACTGCGAGCATCCGAAATCAAGTAAGGTTCTTGACCTGAAATTGTGCAGGCTTCAAACTCATGACTTACAGGTTGAAAACTGAAGTCTTAATCTAATAAGCCACAATACACTACTGAGTTGCTTTCCAAACAACGATGCAGGGGTTTAAACGAGAAGTAAAGATCGGCGAACTCATCCATAGCATTATGGTGAATTAAATTTTCTCAGTTAGTAGTCCTGAGTTACTTTTTTTCTACCTTATAATCCTACAGATAATATAACGGGAGAAAACTAAACGCTTATATCTCCCAATCACATCACAAAGAGTCTTCGAGTTCTGATTCTTAGAACTATGAGGATTTCAGAAAAGCCACTAATGTATGTCTATATGTCTCAGACCAATAGGCAGATAGATAAGATGAATCAGTGCTACATTTTAGCATATTCGAACAAACCATCAGTACATATCGTATTTTTACATGTGATTAAAACTTTTTTATCTTTTTTCTTGGTGGTTTGTCAACTCTGTATTAATAGGATAAATGACAATATGAAACACTATTCAATTATGAAATTGATTTGATCCTATTTATATCATTGACTTATCAGTCATATGAAATTAGACTGTAAATGGAGATATAGATGCTTGTACGAAAAATTTAAATCCCCCCCCCTTAAATTTACTTTGACTTGAGTGCTACGACAAACTCTAACACATTATAAATATATATATATATATATATATATATATATATCATAACCGAGTATATGAAAATAACTTTACAGAGAACCTGAGTTACATTATCTGTTTATTGTGTTCACTGAAGACAGTCAATTATGCTTATGAATAACAGATAAAGACACTGTCTAGTACGCACAGATAAACGATACAGATTATGTACGTACTTGTAAACTTACTTTTGTGTCTCTATTGAATTCGGCTACTGTGGTTTCTTCGTCCACCGGTTTATCGAGTGTTAGCTCCAACGAATAAATTCCACCATGACTTGTAAGTTGAAGCAGATCATAGCCAACTTGTAAATCTAATCCTTTACTGGAAACCTGAATCAATGCAAGAAATAGACAATTTGCACAGTCAACTTATTTTCCAAGTGAAATGATAACATCAAGGGGATTAGCTGAACCCAGGGAACACCTTTAATAAAATAGAAACTACGAATAACGATAATAATAATGTTGTTGAGTATTGTGAAAATATCAATGATTTTTAAGCAAACAGTGGGTTGCTATTTCCTTTAGGCGTATGTAATCAACTACTTAGATGCATTTATGATTGATAAATTTCTAAGCCTCTGTCTCCTGCAGTATGTGGTAATTCACCATTACAACAAAAATAAGAAAGGGAATTTAAATGCTCTAGTGTTGTCGTGAAACGAAGGGGCATCCAAGATCCATGAGAGAGCATCTGTTAGAAAAACTTTATTATTCAGAATCAAATTACAGACACTCGACCTATAGCCATTGTGGGGAAGAGTAACTGTATCTAAAAAGTGCTATACATTGACAACAAAGTCGAAAATTCCCATTGCGCTCGCTTAGATTGTCTTAGCACAGGAATCTGTTTAAATTTAGCGTTGGATCACACTAAGATAGGCAAATTGAAAAACAACTCGTCTATAGACAACCATATGATTGGACGGAACATCTATAATACCAAAAAGCAAAATAATTGGAAAAATACCAACAGTTATCATTGAGTCTTTGCTAATCTAATTCGCATACATAATCCATGCATAATACAGAAATAAAGTAACACCAATTTTAAAGATGGTGAAATTGATCTACAGGGATCAGAGAACTATAAAAACCAGGGACTATGATTTGTCGCACTAAACTGTGTTTGTGCTACTGTGCACCATAACGAATGCACACCTGATAGGAAATTATACTTTCTCTCAGAACTCAAGTATTCCTCTAGGTAGGGCACGCGTACATAACTAACATTAACGACGAATAAATGGAAAAGACTTTGGTGAAGCCAGGATGAATAGCGTGACAGTTAGCCAAGAATCGATCATCAAAAACTAACAAACAATGAATGACACGAAGTACTTAGAGTAGTGTACATACTCTATTATCGTATGTATCTTTCTGTTCACCAAATTCTTCCCGAGATTGTCATCAATAGTGCCAGATCAGTGTATCACTTCTATACTGCTAAATAAAATCTTTAGTTTCTTACTACTTTAAAGTGATCATTCCATAATAAAGGATATAACACACGGTTATACGGTACTGTTTATTTACTGATGACGTTCCCGGCATAATTTGTTGCTAGTCATCATATAAAAGTACTCATGAAACTTCCAGATTTAATTGAAATAGTTATCTCTTGTGTTTTGGCTTTAATGGTGAGAATATTCTCCATATCTTCAGTATTTGTCTTGAGTTATTCCTATTGTACAATTCGATAAAAAAGATATAGTCACTAATCTCCCCCTCTCCAGTTTAATAATATTAAGTTTTAGAAATGTAGCTCTACCCTACCCCACTATTTGACTGTGTGTGCCATGTAGTAATCGAGTTTACTTTAGGTGAATAGTTATATATAGACTCTATCATGCTCATTTGGTTAAGCTTCTGTGCCGATAACTCCAATGACCCTGATCTATTGAATGCACCTATGTTGTTGATCACATTGTCAGCATAAGGTATCCTGTAAATTGGGTGGGTTATTTTCGAATATCAAATAAATTTTTCTATTACAGTGATACACTTTACCACAGTGTCCAAATCTTGTTTTTGTAACAGTGAAAATTATCATGTTTCGAATCAAAGTGATTGTATCCCATCAATTTATCAACTTAACAGGGAATAGAAAGAAATAATGGCATAGTCAGGCAGTTAGTCTATCACAGCAAAACACAATGGTGGACAAATTGCATACAGCATACTGACCAATAATCACATCTAGTTTTAAGCATTGATTAAAATCTGCCTGCCAAGTGTGAAATATAGAAACGATAATTAATATGGCGTGCACTTTTCACCCCTTAAGTGTTACAAGTCAACCAACACAAAAGTCTACAATTGGATTATGTGTGAGGTAATTTTTAGAAATAACTGGTAGTCTTGAGATGTGCGTCGGTGGCACAGCGCTTAGGACGCTCGCCAACCATGCACATGGTCTGGGGTTCGATCCTCGGCCACCGACGCACTCCTTTACCTCGCTAAGCCAGAAATAATGCTGGTAAAGAGGAAAGGTTGGGCATGAGGCTAGCAACCCCATTCTGTAAAAATAAACACTGCTACAGAAACTTCAAGCCACTAGCTTGAAGCCCTATGTTCCACTGGGAACGTGAAGGAAAAAAAAGTAGTCTTGAGAAATTAGATTTTCTCACAAGGATTCGGAATTTTCTCACATACACTACCGATGCCAGCGACTTGGCCACTTAGATTTCTTTTATCTTTTATCAGATGTTTATGTTTAGTGAGACAAAATATTTGAACACGTTGAATCATCTGTTTCAAATGATTGTTATGACAGATACTGAAATAACAATTCCATAATCAAAAGAAATATTTACCCCAAAGTGTGAGTAAATTCAAGGTAAAATACGCAGTTTATAAATTATTCAGTTAAGGAATATAAAAATTTGAGTAGTGTATGCTGCATATTATGGAAGTAATTTACAATGAAACATTGAAATTTCAGTGTATGAGGAAAAAACTGTCTTTTCTACCAGTATTTTCTTTCCTTATCTTTCCCTATTGAACTATCACTAGTTTCGCGCTTGTCTTACAACTCGTAAAACATTTTATTTACAACTTATCACTCTTCTGTAAGCTTTTAATAGACTCTAAATTACTCTATAACAATAACAATAATAATAACAATGCTTAGATGGATATATGGATGGAGGAATGTTTTTCTTTTCATGAAATAAAACTTGGTTTTAAGTGGAAGTATTCTCTACCATCTTGCCTTTTACTTCATTGCTAATTACAAAAAGCATGGACTGTTCACCAACATCAACCATCATCCTCATCAATCTCCACAGGACTATAAAACAAAACATACTTGGAATACTGAAGAAACAGAGAAAGAGTGACAAAGAAGGAGACGAACGAATATTATTAAGGAACAAATAGTCAAATGTAAAAACATGTGGACATATACACACACGTACTACGAAATGAACAAGAGCGAAAAAGTGGACAGGACAAATTTAATATGGGAATCAATCATTGTTCACATAAAACGTGAACACTTATACAACATAAATAAACAATAATCTATCTATATTAAGACACGATAATGCATATAGGTACGATGTATACAAAGAAAGTTATGTTCCACGTGTATACATGCATACACATATGCTCATGCATTTAGCAATCATCATAACTAATGATTATATTACAACTACTACTAGTATAAATGATGATAATAATAATAGTAATGAATTACAGTAGTAATATGAAATGACCATCGATCTATAAATGACCATCAAATCACATCTTTCATTACTTCAAGATATACTAATTACACAAAAAAGACGATAAAGAAACAATTATGCAAAAAGCTTGAAAACGTCATACCACAGATAGACGTAAGCATGGATGAAAGCAGGCAGGCAGGAAGGAGACAGATTATAGGCTACAAATCATGTCAGAACACGGACAGATGATAAGTGAATATAATAATACCAATAATTCAGTAGCATAAGGTAGGTAAAAGTCAGAATTAATCTCTGCTCAATAAAATTCGCTTACTTTTATACAAAATCAAAAATCGATGAAATACTTTATTTTGCTTTGCTAAGTAGAACAAGACCAAGTGTTTGTGTGTGTGTGTGGGGAGGGGAGAGTGAGAGACAGAGTAGGTGACATTGGGATTAGATGTGACTGGGAAGAAGACAAAATATTACCTAACAGCATGAAAAAGGATGTCTTTGTACACCTCATCACGTATATAAACAAATAAAAGTATATATATATATATATTTATATATATATATTTATACTTGAGTAATGCGTTTTGATTTTTATTTTATTGACAAGAGTGAAAACAAGAAACAATTGAGAAGTTTATGCAATATAGGAGAGAAAAAAGTAAGGGAAACATTATACCTTATAAAGACAAAAACACTATTCTCTTAATATAATTACTTTTACTTTGTTTCAAAAACTTTCATGAAAAAAGTCTAGGTGAGTATTGAAAAGACGAGGTTTGCTGGAGTCGTTCAATTCTCGTTTCTCATCTCTTGAGTTATGCGTCCTATCACATACCGATTCAATGCCACTGTTAACAGAATAATGATAGACTCGTTAGACAATTTTCGTAAGTAAAAAACCTACAGGAATTATCAACAGACATGCAGAATTGTCAAGTGGATAACGATTCCATGAAATTTAATAGTATCTCAAGTTTAAAGGAAAGAGGGAAAATATTATAATTGGTTGAAATTATTTTGAATTCGCTGTTAATTCATTTCATTAGACTGAAGTGCTCTAAATCAAATTGAAGTATGCTCTGAAGACGTTGCAAATAAACTATCCCGCTCAGAGAACACAACCACATCAAAATGCTCTGTATCTGTTGACACGACACGACTGTCTGAATACGGATGCTGTGATGATGTCTTGAGGTTAACATGTTGTTACACAGTTATCTGATAGTGAAAGAAATCGGAATACAGGATGTATATTTCATCGCATTCAGGACTTGTCAGTTGGATGTACTTATATCCCAGTGAGTGATAGTATTTCCACCCGCATATACTCAACAGAAGATTGTTAATTAATACAAGATAATTAATACTAGACATCAGACTGTGTCATAAATTCTTTGAAGTAATTATTATTATTATTATCGCTGTTACATTTAACTGTGATTATGACATTATCCCATTTACTTCACAATGAATGTAATCTGTCTAGAATTTTTGAAAGCCTTAACAGCCTAGTCATTGATTAATTCATTCATATGCAAGTTTCAATGTGACATCAGTTCGTCCGGTAGCTTCATTCACCTAAACTACACTTTCATACTTGTACACAAATTAATAACATGACACAAACACGTACGCATGTATATA